TTCCACAGCTTTGAGCCTATTTCCCTACCATGCCTGCAATCTTTGCTTCTGTCGATGAAACCATCTGGTTCCCAGGACGACATCCTTCCTCCGCGCCTCCTGAAAGAGGTGTTCCCAGCTATAGGTCATTATATCCAACACTTTATCAATACCAGTCTTATTTCCTGTGTGGTACCCCCTGTCTTCAAACATGCTGTGGTTCAGCCGCTTCTAAAAAAAAAAAAAACAGGCCTTGACGCCTCGGTTCTTTCTAATTATCGCCCCATTTCCAAGCTTCCATTTCTGGCAAAAATTCTGGAGAAGGTGGTCTATGATAGCTATCTACTGATCTAGCCGATCATAACATAATGGATGTCTTTCAGTCAGGTTTTCGACCCCTGCACAGCACTGAGTCCTCTCTTCTCCGTGTCTTCAATGACATTTTTATGGCTACTGATTCTGGCTCCTATGCTGTGTTATTACTTCTCGATCTGTCCGCCGCCTTTCACACCGTCGACCATGACATCCTTTTATTACGTTTAGAGGAGGTTGCTGCAATACGTGGTCCAGCCCTAACTTGGTTTAGGTCCTATTTGTCTAACAGGTCCCAACGGGTGGTGTTGAACAACATCTCATCTCGCTCTGCTCCTCTCTCATGTGGGGTCCCGCAGGGATCTATTCTGGGCCCTTTGTTGTTTTGTCTTTACCTCCTTCCCCTCAGCTTCATTCTAAAAAAATACTGTGTTCAATATCATTTATATGCTGACGACTGTCAGATTTACATGTCGGTGAAACCCCAGCAATCCATCCAGCCTCTTCTAGATTGCCTACGTGATGTGAAATGTTGGCTGGCCACAAATTTTCTGCATCTCAATGATTCCAATACTGAACTGATCCTGTTTAATCCGGTCAGATCTACTGTTTCGCGAAATCTAAAAACCGTTGTGACAAACCTGGGTGTGAAGATGGATTCATCTCTAAGGATGGACGCCCAGGTCAACGCCACTGTAAAATCTTGTTTTTTCCAACTCCGCCGTCTGTCCAAATTAAGAGCTGTTTTATCTAGGAACAATTTGGAATCAGTTGTTCATGCCTTCATCACATCTAGGCTCGACTACTCGAATGCAATTTTGCTGGGTGTCAATAAGTCAACCCTTGCCCGACTTCAACTCATTCAAAACGCAGCTGCTAGATCCCTAACGCGTACGGACAGGCGCCAGCGTATAACACCAGTTCTCAAATCCCTTCATTGGTTGCCCATCACTTTCAGGGTCCAATATAAAATATTGCTTTTTGTTTTCAAATCCCTCCATGGTCTTGCCCCCGTGTACTTATCTGATCTTCTTTCAATTTATACTCCTGGTCGCTCACTCAGGTCCTCCAGCCTGTTGCTCCTCGAGGTCCCGAAAGCGTGTTACAAGTCATGTGGACAATCTGTCGCGGGTCCTAAACTGTGGAACGAACTTCCAGTCACAGTTCGACTGGCATCCACCTTGGCAGATTTTAAGTCTAGACTTAAGACACACTATTTTACCCTTGCTTTTAACAGTTAGCTGTTAGTTTGGTGTTTACTCTTATTTTATCATCCATTGTAACGTTTTTATTGGTACTTTCTTATCGGCTTGTCTTTTTTATTGTTGGTTGTATTTCATAGCACAGTTTTATGTTTTCTATCTCTGTTATTGTGCGACTGTTCAGCACTTTGGTCAGCCGTATGGCTGTGTTTTTAAAGTGCCATATAAATAAAGGTGGTATGGTATGGTATCAATCTTTAAAGAAGACAAACCAAGGGTTTCAAACAGGATGGGGGTCATGGAAAACATCTGGTTGTTTCAGAGGTGCAGCAGGTAGATCAAAAGGAAAACAGATTTCTTTCAGGTGAGTCTGAAATTAGAAGACAGCTAAATGTATTTATGTTCTCAGGAAGCCACAGCTCTATCAGAGCAGGAACTGATCAGAAGGAACTCACTCGTTCCAGCTTGATCCGATATAAAAGGGAGATGGGGAAGATGTTATCAGTTACCTCTAAGTGCAGATCATTATTCCAGGAGCATTTTAAAAGGGTCACACGACAGGTATAAATGTGAAAATGAGCTCCACGTTTCCTCTAAGTGAAGATCTTCCGCCACCTAGTGGACAAAACCACCTTCAGCTTAAGAACCGTTTATTGAACAAGTAGTTTGATTATTAGAACATTATCCTCATAAATTACACATTTATACAAATCATTGACGAACAAAACAAACTTTACAATAATCCATAAGTCACAAAAACAAAGGTATTGAAAAAAAGAGCATTCAAATCTTTTTACATCAAAGTTAAAAATTCTATAAAATGTACAATAAAACTTGAACAGCTAAATGCTGTTGATGTTCATGGTGAACTAAAACCAGCCTGAGCTTTTATTTTCTCAAGTCAAGACAAATAAAAACACATAGATGTGATCTGGAGTCGTTTCACTAGTAAAAGCTGCTTTAGGTGATTTTAGTTCACTTTTCTCTCCTTTTCATTTCCAGTGGGATTTTTTATGGGTGTTCTGTGTTGTTTTGCGTCGTGGTGTTTAGGGTGAATGCACTCATGTGTAAGTGTCCGATTTTCTGTCTACATCTTCTTTTTGTTTTTTTTTTATCACTTTATTTCTGTTTCCTGATTTTTGGTTGTTGTTAGTTTTCATTTCACATCTCACTAGAGTCATGTTTGTCTTTTTGTGGTCTTTGTGTGTGTGTGTGTGTGTGTGATCATTTTAGCAGTATTGGTCTCTTTGATGTCAGACACCCCACACCCAGCTCCTAAAGCCAACAAGCTAAAAGCTGCGTCCTCCCTCTCCTCCTGCAGAACACGCTCATCACCAGAAACCTTTGGATAAGGAGCAGTAGTGTGTGAAGATTGTTGAAGTCAAGTGAAGTTTTTACTTTACAAGCCTCATCTTAGTCCCCTTCGACCCTAGAAGTGTCAGGTCCCCGTCTCTTTAATGCTGTGTGATGATGATGATGATGATGATGATGATGATGATGATGATACTTTTCAGTCATTTGGGCTCGTGTTTATTCGTAAAACCAGATCCAGGGTTTGGCGCCGTGCGAAGCTTCAGTCCTGACAGGAAGTGTTGCCGGTGACCTTCCTCTTGCGAATGGAGATCAGGTCATGAAACGGATCTCTGGTGATACTCGCCCTGAAAACAAAGTCAGACCCAGAACTTCACCTCTAAATCCTGTCACCTGTCTGTCTGGAGAGAAAATCCACCAGAACTCACCTGGTTCTCACCTGTAAAGCACTTTCTTACCAACAATATTTCATTGGTTGTATTAAAGTTTCATTAGTTCGGGTCAGGCGTTGGCTGAAGCTTTCCTTACTGACCAATAGCAACAAATCTGGTATTTACCCACATCAACCCCAGTGGTTTAGTCTTATCAGCCAGTAAACGTGTTGCTTCATGTTTCATTTCAAGAGGCGGAAACATTAGTTTCCTTAGAAGCAAATCTAACTGTGTAAAGTTTTATTTAAATGTGGAAATCTAAATCTAAGTATCACAGTTTTACGTATTTACCTGACAAACTGTTTCAGACTAACGTAACAAAAGACAGAGTGAAGCAATGCCCTGTCTGAGTGAGTCTGTTCACTCATGGAACATTTATCTGTATTCCTGTTTGGGTTCTCCAGGATCCGCGGTTTAACACTCTCATCGTCTGGGACCGAGGTTCTCAAACACTCTGGTTTCTGTGAGTACCACCATCCTGACTAGTAATAAAGCTGTAATACCAGCCTGCCTTTCAGCACTCTTCATACATGGGGCAGATTATACTAATTAAATAATCTATTATTACAGAAGCTTTATCACATTATTTTCTGATGATTTAACACAAGATCACAAACGTCTAGACAGCTGATTCCTATGGATTTGATCCATCCCCGAGGAGCAACAGGCTGAAATTCAGAACGGTACCCTGAGGGTAACTTTCATGGATTGGCCAATGAGGTCCCTGATATTTTTGGACACATTCCAGATTAAAATGAGGTGATTATTACCTGATTGCTTCGATCCAGTTGTCCCGTTCTTCGGTGCTGCATGCTCTGAGCCTGTAGGACTGGTGTTTACCCTGAACCACTCGGCCTTTGCTCTCCGTCTTGCAGGCCTTGACGTTCTGTCCTTTGGGGTGGTATAACTCCAAACAGAACTGTGCAAACACACGAACAGCAGCACGTTACAGAGAGCAGATGCTTTGTGTTTGGTTCCGACAGACAGATGACTCATTGTTTTCAGGACTTGTGGTAGGAATGTAGCAGCTATCGTGTGATTCACTGGAGTCTGTAGCAGCAGACGCTACAACTGTGAAAGACAGAGTGGAACCGTACCGGTCTGCTGGAGTCCTGCAGCTGCTGGACACAGAGGTTCTCCAGTGGGATGATCCCGATTGGGTCCTTGTCCTGCAGGGTGAAACAGACGTCAGTGATGGACAAATGATATCTGACCGTCCTGCTGTCAGCAGGGAAAATAAAACTCACTGTGGTGTATTTAAAGTAGTACAAGCAGCTGTCAGTCAGAATGAACCACCTCCTCTTCCATGTTTTAACTCGACCACCTGCAGGAAGGAGGAGAGCTTTCAAACAGGCTGGAAGAGATGCTCAGACTCTGATTGACTACGTGACTTCTGAGTTTAGTCCTAACATCATCCTCTCACCCATTTTCAGGAGCCACCCCTCTCGATCTGGGTTAAAAAATGTCAGCGTGAGGTCGTTCCCGTCATCCTCGGGGATTTTAAAGGGCTCATTGCGAATGCTTGCATACAGTTTCTGAAAATAAAACACACCTTTTAGCTAAAGGTGCTCCAGATTCGCTGCAGAAAGAAATAAAACAAACAAATGTGATAGTGTAGTAATTGTAGTCTATTAGTGTGTAATAGTGTAATATAATGTAATATTATTTGATACTGTAATAATGTGTGATAGTGTAATAGTATGAAATAGTGTAATATGATGTAATAGTGTAATAGTTATAGTGTAATAGTGTGTAATAGTATGTGATACTTTAATAATAACAACAACAACAACAATAATAATAATAACAATAATAATAACAATAACAACAACAATAATAATAATAACAATAATAATAATAATACTGGCTTTTAGACAGGGATTCATGTTATCATATTATGATTTTATAGTTTTTATTGTTGTGTTTTATCTTCTTGCTTTTTTCTTTTTTGTTTTAAAGAGCGAATTGCAGGTAAAAAAAAATTCTAATTCATATAAAATGCTGCCCCAAAAATACTATTTGAGAAGCTTATTGTGGATATTTGGTTTTAAAATACAAAACAGAAGTTTTTCTAGTAAAAAGTGGCCTTTCTCAGCAGAGCTTCTAAAAAGGCTGTTGTTTTTAAGTCTGAACCTCTGACGTAACCAAAGGGAGTCAGAAGCTCGGCTGCCTCGGCTCAGTGTGGAGAGTGGCTAGTTTAGGGTAGAGAGGTCATGTGATCCAGTCAGTGTGTGTGTTTACTAGTGTTGGGTTGTGTTCATGTTGATCAACTAGAGTTTATGAAGGCTGTGCCAACTCCATCTGGACATCGAGTCCACGGGTTTCCAGATATGAGAAACAGCGCCTCTATCTCCGTGCCTGATGGTGTTTCTGCAGCTGAAAAGACAGACTTATGTAGCCCACATCGGTCGGTACCGGGTCAGGGAGGTCCGCACTGGGCTCCGGAGACCCGTGGTGGGGTTTAAAAAATTAAATGCGGATTTCTGGAGCTCCAATCACCGTTGGAACCAGGTCAGAACCGACCACCAGAAGAGACGCGCGGCTCAGCTGACTTCCGGGTCGGAACCGGATCAGAGCCGCCGCACCAGGAGAGGATGTGCGGCTTTTGAAAATACCAGCTTGATTGTCTCGCTCGTGTTTGGTTGGGATCCGGCTCACAGAAGCCCACATGAGCTCCAGAACCGGATGACAGGTGTGTCTCTCCCTCTCGCTAAGCTAAACTACGATACGTGAACGGATATTAGCGAGTATGAGACCGCTGACAGACGCTCATTAGTATCAATATTAAATTAACTGACCGATACTATTTTAATTGTCTGGTACACGATAGTAATCTGTAAAATATCGTGATGTTAGCACACGAGTTTAAGCTAGCATCGTTAAGCTGCCAATTATAAAGTGTTATCATCTTATCTTAAACAAAATGTTCATTTGAGAGCATCTGTCCGGAAGTTGCCTGTTTGTCACATTTTGTAACTTTTTAAAGCCGAACAAGCTCCGATATTTTTTATCTCAACGTCACCGATCGGCTGACCGTGAGCAGCTCAGGGGGAAGGTTGTCTCCGTTGTTGATGCCTCTGTTCATAGAGATGAAGAGCTGCAGGCTGGGCTTGTCCTTCACGTTGGGGTTGTGGAGACTCGTGTTGAGCATGATGATGGCAAAGGACAGAATGTAGCAGGTGTCTGTAACAGAAGCCCAGAGTTAGCTTCTTCTCTCCAGAGCTCTGTTAACGGCAGCCATTAAAAGTTCTGACTCCAGGTAAATGCTGTAGAGCAATTAGACTGAGAATCCTTCACCCTGACTGCTTCGGGGAACAGTTCTGGAGCCCAAATGTCTCCAGTGGAGATGTCAGAATCAAACATGAGAACATGGATTTAATAGGACTGCTGGTCTCATACCTGTGGACTGGAAGACACCTGGGTTACAGTCACAATACCGAGCTGCAAAAGCCTCCATCATCCTGTCAATCTTCTGAGCTTCTCCTGGGAGGCGAAAGCTCCACAAAAACTGCCTGGAAGAGCAGAGTTTCATGAAAGAACACTCAGAAAAGAACGAACAGGACTAAAGGTAGAACCGTCCGACAGACCTCAGCGCCTGGACCAGGTTCAGGTTTGAGAACTCATGCAGACCCACAAAGGCTGTCAGGATCTCCAGGTGCATTTCCTCCCTGTGAGATGTGTACGAGCAGGGGTCAGTGAAGGGTACACACACACACACGTGCACGCACGCACGCACACACACACACACACACACACACGCACGCACGCACAGACACACACACACACACACACACACACAGTAGCGGTTTTAGGCACGGGCAGACAGGGCAATTGCCCGGGGCGGCATTTTTTCATGACACAAAAGGGGCGCACAAGCGCTGAGAAAAAAAAGAAGAAAAAAAGGAAATCTGCGCCGCACTGAGGTTTTCTATTATCTGTCATATGACAGTGTCTGGATTGGAAACAGCAAGTTGGCGCCCCCTGCAGCTGCAGGCGCTCCTGCTGACTGAGAACGTTCACGTGCACCGTGTGTCTATGAAGAACAGGAAGGGGAGGGGTGCGGCGGGGGAATTCACCTCTGCGTCTTTCCCAAATGAAATGAGCGCAAAATGAGCGTGCAGGGGCTGAATCAACTGTATTAACATGGTTAAAGTCAATCACATCTTAACGTTCTTCCATATTTCATTCATAATATCATAAACACAGGCCTATCATTCTTTCAGGTTTCTCTGAATTGTGTGAAATGGCCGAATAAAAAAAGGAAAAACAAAACGATTTTGTGGTCACACCCCCATCAAGGTCAAATAGTTTAGTCCTGACTAAAGGAAACTTACTGAGTCAGGAGCCAAACAGAAGAGATGAACATAAAAAGGCTAAAACCACCAGGTTCCCCATTCAGGGGGAAAAAAAGAAAAAAGAGGAGAAAGATAAAGGTATGTAAGCTCTCATGATGCATGTTGCATGATGCATGTTTAACGGTTAAATGCGGTCAACTAATTGCTAACAGAGCTAATAGGGCTGAAATATTGAAACGAATATTCAAATGGTTCGAAAAAAAGTCCTTGAATCGTTTTTTACTGATTCAAAATAGGATTTGTTAAATGCTCGCTGCAGCCTGTGGCCTGCCTGAACAACAAACAAGTTGATCATGTTCACATAATAATAAATAAAACAACTCTACAAGCAGAAGAAAACACCCCAGTCACCACTAACTATCCTGTTTATTTATTGCAGATGGCTGCACTGATTATTTTTACATGATTTGTTCTGTAAAAGTTGGCATTTTTGGTAGTCTACAGGTTTTTTATGTCAGTTTAAATTACAATTTCAGAGGCAATTCTAAAATATTATGGATCATGAGATCTATTGGAGATCTACCCCAACTTTTGGACTGCTCTGCCAGTCACTGTGGCTCAAGCTGAGAGGAGCTTTTCAAAACTTGATCAAGTCATACCTGAGGTCACCTATGTTTCAGGGGCGGCTCACTAACCTGGCTCTGATTAGTATCAATCACTCAGTAGGGGAGCAGATTTCGTGTGATGACATTATTGATGACGTTGCATCAAGGTTAGGTTTTAATTTTAGTTTGTGTTTTCTGTTCTAAGTGCAATGCTGTAGTGATTATCTTTAGTTTGTTATGTGTGAAATATTTGTGCTATTTAGAATATTTATTATCTATTATGTTCATATATTCTTAATATTTAGTTATTGTTTGTTTTTGTATATTTGATTCTATATATTTTGATACAGTATATAATGTATAGTGCTTTACATTCTGACAACTTCATAGTAATTAATGTAAATGTGTGCAACTTAGAAAAATGAATGTTCAATAGTCGTTCTAATAAAACATGCTTGTTTGTAGAAAACATGCGTGTGTTCGTGCAGGTGGGGTGGTGTGGTGGTGGTGGTGGGGGGGCGGTTGGGGGGGGGGGGGGGCGCTCAAAGGGGGCCTCGCCCGGGGAGTAATTCGATGTAGAACCGCCACTGCACACACACACACACACACATATCAACATTTAAAATGCAAAAATCACACATGAATCCCCACAAAAACTCCTATTTTAAAACTCGTTGTAGAACAAGGTTCTTGCTCTAGATCTTTTGTCTTTTTGCCATTTCTGACTCTTCTTGTCTTTTTTTTCTCTGAACCTTTTCATGCCTCACTTTTTGCCACACACCTTTCTCCTAAGAAGTTTCCGATGGCCGTCTTGTTTAGTCCCTCCTCCTTGTACAGGAACTCCGCTACCGGCTTCGCTCTCCAGTCGAGGAACTCGTTTTCCACCAGGTAGTGGATTCCCTGCAGCGGGGGAGAGACACTCGTTTGAGTTTCAGCTGAAAGCTAGTCTGTCATCTTTAAATCTGTGTTCATGCATGTTTTAAACTGACTGTGTGTTTGGATTTGCATCAGTGCTGCGAACTCATAGAGCACCACAACACGGTTTTATTTTTTGAGTCCATGACCAGCAGCAGGAGGATGGAGGAGGGGTGAAGATCTGCTTTTGTTGCCTCTCAGAATAAAAAATTGACCCTGGAACCTGACGATGAACTCCTGATAACCATCTTTACTAAAAGAGCTGTAGAACAGGTGGTGGCGTGCAGAGGACGCGGTTCCTGCGGAGGGAGTCTGAATCGAGAGAGGAAGGAGGAGGAGGCAGAGGCTGCTGTGGTGAAGAGACGCCTCTGCTCTGCTTCAGGGAACAGGATGTGGTGGTTCATGTTATCACTCATGCTCCGAGTCTGTGGGAGCTCTGCTGAGCATCTCACCCAAATCTGCATCCACTCTATGTAGTTCTGCTGCCTTTTCATGTAAACCTTATGAAAAGACTTATTTTGGAAGTTAAAGGTCTAACGTGTCATCAGTTTGCAATTACCTCTTCGTGATCGGGTCCTGACATTACAACTCATGCCTCCACATAGAACAAAGGTTCTGATTGTAGTTTCTTTTAGGAAACCAGAAGTTTTACTGGCTCATACACAAGTTCTGTTCATAGGTTCACTCTTTATTTACACGAAAAGGGAGCTTACCACTTTGGGGTCCATGTTAAATTTCTTTTTTCCACGTATGAACTTCCTTTTTCTCATCACACTTTTACTGTAACAGAAAAACATGAATGCTAAATCATCTAGCAGCTCAGGAGATAAACGTAGCCTCATACTGATGAACAACTGTACAAGCTAGAAACATGAATGTCCGTGTGAGAATAGAGTCAGAGGTGTGATTTTAGTTTAGAATCAGGAAAATGTTCCATTCGATTACGTGGAGGGGGCGGGGCTTAAACATTTACTGAAACCAGCCACTAGGAGGTGTTTTGGATTCTTTTAAGCTTAAAGGTGTAGTTTACTTGTTTATTTTTCATTTATTTCTCATTAATTTCGATCCTCATTCGCTGCAACTTACAGGTAGTCTTCCTGGAGTCGATGCAGTCCAACACAAAAATGTTCAACAATGCTCACAGAAATATTATACCCAAAACAATAATACCCCAAAAATACAAATAAGTCATTTGCAGTGTTCTCTAGCGTAAATCAGTGCCTTATGAGTTATTTAAAAGAATAAGCTATGAGCTCCTGTTCTGAGAAGCGGGAATTTGCTGGTGCAGAGAAAGGCTAAAAACAGCAGAATTGCTCATTACTGTCAATGATATGCACACAAGTCATTTCTGATTGGCTAACAGAATGCACTGTTGCAATGTCACTATCACCAAGACACTCTCCACTATCTCTCCTCAGTGCAAAAATAAAAAATAAAAATTAATCAACAAAAGCATAACTATGCAGTTAACATACAAACAAACTTTGTGTGATAATACAAAAGTGATTTATTTTCTACATTATTGTAATTTTTTTATTGTTTTGTTCTGCATGTTTGGTTAATTCACATCAAGAATCATCAGCAATAACAGAATGTGCTGGGTTTGTTTGTGGAATCGTTTTCTCAGCAAACTAAAGGTGTGATCTGTAGTTTGAAATGTTTCTGTGCAGAAACGAGAAACTGTGGTCGACTGCCAGTAATGCAGATGTGGCTAAATGCAGCCGCAGAGCAAACGCATCGTTTTATTACTTTGCAGCAACAGAAGAAGAGGAAGCACAACCCAGTGCATCTCAGGCTGCACTGGGTTAGTTTCTGTCACTGAGAATCAATTAGGGTGAAGCTTGTCTTTAAAAATGCAGCGACTGGGGTCCGGAGCTGCCAGAGAGGAGGTGAAACCACACTCTGAGCTGAGGGCTTTCGAATGCACGGACCACAGGGACACATTTATCAGATAAGCTTCTGAAGAATTTAAGGCAATGACAGGAGCAGCTTTAAAAATATTTCATTTCATTTAGGTGGCGTTTGATGTTCCAGGTTTCATTCAACCTTTTACATCAGCCATTGCTTAGAAAAATAATCCTACCGCGACTATAACATGTCAGCCAGAAAGATGACGAAAGGCACAAACAAATAAACAAACATAAACAAACAATGAGTGGTGCTCATCGTGGTTGTGGAGGTAATATAACCCAGAGAGTTTTAGAGAAGCCCAAATAACCACAAAACAACTCTGGTTTCTCGGAGGCTAAATCAGAATAAACGAAGTTGGAAATCCAGACGTGCAGCTTTTACTTTGAAAGCAGCTTCTGTTGTTTTGAGCAGCTCTGCAGGTAAACAGTGTTTTTAACCAGCATCTGAACATCTAAGTTTGTGTTTTTGTTTTCTTTCTGTTCTCACACAAATTATAATGAATGATCCGCATAATGTTTAAACCTCAATTTTTTTATTTTAACAGACGTCTGAGGTCATGTGGAGTTTGCCTCTGTTTCTAAGGATTTCAGTGTCAGAATAAATACACATGGAAGTAAAACCCTTTGATTTAAATGTGCAATACTCATGATTATATAGTGTTTTATAAATGACCAGTTCTGATTGGCTGTCAGACCAAAGTGGGACCTGATTGGTTGCCAAACAAGGAAATCCTTTGCTGACTCTTCAGTAACCTTGGCAAGACTCAGTAATTAACATCTGGGAGGTTTAATCAATCAGTAATAATCCAGGATAGATGGCTCAGATTAAGACGCACGACAGACAACGTCAACAGCATTTTAGCATTTACTCCACGTTAGAGGCCCGCCGCAGCTGTGACTGCGACTCGTCAAATTCCATGATGCTAGGTGTCAACCGATCAAACTAAAGATGTTTGAATATCAATGCTCGGACTCCGATCAGAGACAACTCCTTCTCAGCTAACGTCAGCCATCTTTGATTCTGGCTGGGTCAAGCTGAGCTAAGCATTGTGGGGGAGGAACGCTGTACAGACTCAGAGGAGCTGCAGCTTGTACTCACTTATGCTGCTTCAGACTGGGGTTGTGGATGGCAGGAATGATCTCCAGCTTCTGCTTCTGAGAGAGGGAGTGATGAGATGATGTCAGAGAAGGACAAAGGTTTGGTTTGACATCACCAGCAGCCGCAGACGCAGTGACTCAGAGCCAGTCTGTCCACTGCTTTTATAAGATAACCTTCAGAGTTTTTGCATTTCAGTCAAAAGTTGGTGAATAGAGTTTTTGTGTGCTTGCAGCCGTGGCTTTGAGCAGAATAATGAGGCATTTTAATGAAAGACCTTGGTGGGAAAAAAAGAGTCACCACAGTACCTGAATGCCATCCAGCTGCTCCAGTTTGTGAGTCTTTAGGCTGTCTTCCTGTGTTGTCTCAGCCCCGGGCCGTTTGGGCATGGCTGTGGGGCAACAGGGAGCATGGTGGACTGTTAGATTCCAGATCAGTAACAAAATGCTCTGAGACGTGTCTGCACAGACGCCCACACATCTTATCAGGGACCAGTTTGCATCACAGCTTTGTCCCTCACAGTTTGGAGAAGCGATCAGTGAACGAAAATGAACGTGACCCTCCTGGTTTAACTCAAAACAGCTCTGGGCCTCTCTCAGCCTTAAAACCACGTTTCATATTCACCTGGAAGACATGCTACAGCCAAGGAGTAAACACGTGTGTGAATATCACAGGTCTTCACAAGTAAAACAACAGCGACTACCATAAACTGTGAAACAGAGCTCAGATGAACATTTGTTAGTTTTCTACAGAAAACGGCAGCAACAAGCACCAGTTTGACCTCAGATTTACCACAAAAAGTATTATAAACACTTTAAAATAAAGTCTTTCAAATGCCCAAAGTAAAAGGTTGCATACCTTTCCCCCAGAGGAAGCTGTCTTTTCTGCTTATAGCCATGTTTCTCTGCAGAGCCACTGACGGCTGCACAGGAAACTGAGTCAGACTGAAAAAAGGGTCAGCGCTGCCATTCTGAGGCTCTACACGCCTTCACCATCCTCCTGGTGACGTGCACTTACACCATAGGTTAAAACACAGACAATTAAAAATTTAACTCCCAAAACAAAAAATAGCATCTCCAATTACACACAGACATTACCTGATGAGCTTGTGATTGGTGTCAATGTGCACCATATACTTTGGGCAAGGAACTGTGTACGTCCTTCTCACTACACATCCCAGATGTGTCATTCGAGCAAGTACACCCGCACTGTCCACACGATGCATGGATGCATACAGTCGGTCCCACTGTACTCTATGTCCCTGGGCAAGTAGAGCACCTCGGACTACCCTGTACCCAGCATCTAGCATGTTGCTCTTAATTACTGTGATAAAATAATCTAGTTCCTCATCACTGCATTTACTGTATGTGGCTAGGGCTGCAACAACGAATCGATGAATTCGATGAAAATCGATTACTAAAAGCGTTGGCAACGAATTGCGTCATCGATTCGTTGTGTCGCACAACTCTTCCAAAAGCGCCCCCCCCCCCCTTCCCGCCCGCCGTTGCTCGCAGACCAGAGCAAGTCAGATCAGCGCGAGGGAGAGCCAGCAGATCAGCGCGAGGGAGAGCCGGCAGATCAGCGCTAGGGAGAGCCGGTAGACTTGCGCTGCTGCGAACCGGTTCCGCATTGTCGCGCAGCGATCCAGGCAGCTGCTTCCAGCGCACGGTCCATTCTCAAAGTGGCGCAACCAAAAAACTATAATTAGCACACGATCGTTCATGTCCGCACATGTTCTCTATTTTCTGTCTTATTTGTGCCTGAAGCTCGCTACTGCGGAGCTCATCACCTGTGCTGCGGTGATGTCACCTCACGCAGCATCGAAAACGCGCTCTGCGCTTTTCGGTCAGGAGATCCCTTTGATCTGCTCAAAAGTAACTGATGAGGTGAAAAGGTAAGAATCCAGGCAACAGATTTTCTGGAGAATTATGAGGAGATGCAGGAAGATGAGAGACAGACAGGACAGGAAAATAGTTCAATAAAAACAAGAAAACAAAACAAAGTGTTGAAAAGTCAAATGTAGGTAGAGTTATCTCCACTACACGTTTTTACCAGTAAAAAACAATAAGTTATACACATGTCATAATTATACATCTGATACAATTCAGATCACCTTCAAAACTCAGTCACACCCAGGGCCGTTTCAAGACATTTTGGGGGCCAAGGCAAAATGCCCCCCCCCCCCCCCATAACTGGGCTCCCCAGAAGCCTCTGTGTAATTCATGCCCTCTCCAGTAGTGTTAGTTATATGGTGTTTATAAAAGCCCCTCAGACATTACTGACATGTTCTAATATTATCAGATGAAAAACTAAATTATCAGACATGCTGTCTCATCTGCTTCTTTTATAAACTTGCAAAAAGTAACAAAACCATTTGAAAGCCACTATTTGTGGATTCTCTGAAAGTTTCCATGGAGTGTGTGACAACTTATGTTTTCATTGATCCTATCGTCTAATCTCACAGCTGAAACAAGCATCCTTAATCATCTGTGCACAGGAAGCTTACCGATGCTGTAGTAAAACAAAAGGTATAATAATTTATTATTAATAAAACCTTGTTGCAGCACTAAAGCAGAAAAATGAGATTTTGCAGTAAATATGCTAAATATTTACATATGAATTGTTTTAGAGCCCTTTTATTGGCAGAATCTGATATTAATTTAGTTCTTACAAAAAATGGTCCCAACATGGTTTGTGTGGCGTTGCCATAGTGTGACGTCATAGGCACAGATCCCTGTCCTCTTGTTTGGAAATGGAAATATGGTCACCCTACATTAAACAAACTGTCCACCCGGGCTTTTGCACTGCACAGAGACGCTTCGCTGCCTACGACTGAATGTCAGTTGAGAGTCAGTCTCATGCAGACTGACCAATGAAGAGAGGGCCTCAAGTTAAGACCCTCTCCTCATTGGTCAGTCCACACGAGGTGGGTCAAAGGTTACTCTGGGCGGGTTACGTGTTGTCAGGCATTCAAGTATTGAGTATATTTACTGCATATTACAGTAAAATATTCTGTATGTGACCACATTATGGTGATCCTTGGGTCGTGATTATGGAGCCCTTGAATATTGTTGCCCAGGGTACAACAAAGTGTTAATCTGGCCCTGGTTCCGCCGTCACATTCCCACAGAAACTGGTTGATCACACCGGGGCCAGACTACTAGCATGTGGTTTTACAACCACAATGTCCTCAGAAGCAAAAACACTTTTAAAAGGGAGGGAGGAGTCCTAACTGTTGCTGCAGGCGTGTTGTGTGAGAGTGCAGTTATATACTGGTTAATATATTTTTGGGTTCAGTTGCTTTCATGTGGCCTAATGTGAGTCTATTTGGGATCATTGGAATGATCAGCAGCATTTCTTGATGTGACTTTATGGCAGTTGCCCAGGGCATCATCGCAAGGAGGATGGCATTCATTTACTTTTGTTTTATTTGGTATTTTTTCAGTCATTTTTGGAAATGGTGATCAATTTTGATTAATTCACAGCCTATGTTTAATTACATTTAAAATAAATGTCAACAGATGAGATCAAACAAAACAGATGAGAATTGCCCTTAAGCTGTTTAACTTGGACCAAGCATTTTAGGTCACAGATAGATGTAGCTTAGGGTCTCTGTCTATACACCTTATAAGACAATTTAGGTGATGGCATGTTGTTTTTCTGCTATTGAACTGTTTTCTAATAATGTTGTGTTAAATAAAGTGAAGGAAGGAGAGAAATAACATTTCCCTAGCAGTTTTTAAAAATTTCCCCATGTAATCCGATTAATCGATTAATCGTGTCGAGACCCCATCCGATTAATCGATTATCCAAATAATCGTTTGTTGCAGCCCTATATGTGGCAGATACAAATATATAAATAAATATAATATTTTCAGACATCCGTCTAAATAGAGTTACTCTGGATACACCAAGGAGTTTGGTAATGACACTTGTTGGCAGACGCATTTCCACAAGGTGTTCGAGAGCCTCTCGTGACACCGCCAATCGTTGACGGCCACGAGAACCTCTTTCAACGTGTACCGTTATTAATGTCTTTTGATTATCTCTTTCCTGCTGGATAATAGTATTCAGATCGGAAAGAGCAGAAAGTATATCCTCTCCTACATCAACAATGTCACCTAGAGCACTTAATAAAACGAAATAATGGTGACAAGCAAACTATAGCCCTTCTCCATCAACAGGTTGCCTCTCCAAGATGCTTGACAGTCGATCGTAAAACCTCTGAAGGATGTCATGCCTCAATGATTCCTAGAGGGAAAAAAACAAAAACAGAACAAACATGAATTGGATAACTGTTGGGTAATAGAAATAAAATAACAACTTCCAAATATCTTATGGCACTTTTATTTTTTTAACACTCCAGCTATGATAGTTTTAATAAAAAAACATTTTTAAATAAGACTAACTGTAGATTCAAAGGTACATGAAATGATGAAGCAGTATTTCTGTTTATTATGTGCCAGAGCTCATTGGCCAAAATTTAAAGATGCATTTAAAAAAATAAAAATTTCT